GTGCATATCTGATAGAAAAACCTGGCTTAGTAGAAGTTTACTTTTTCCTGTTTCTGTAAAAGAAAAGTTAAAATCAAAGTTCCCTCGCATATATAATAATATATCCCATGATGATATGACTCCGTGTAAACTATGACTTCACCGTCTGTCCCTTGTTGTACTTCTTTCCATTCATAGTCTTCATATAAAACAATCACGTCAGTATTATTGTTTTACACGTAAACATATGCCAACTTGCCTTGTTTTCAACTACCTGATTTATTTTTAATAATGCTGTATCAATATACACCAGAATAGAATACATTAGTTAATGTTAACATATATTCTTCCACTTCAGTGGTGAAGAGACGTATCTTACTGCTGAATAGTACTTCTATTTGGCAAATGATATGAACATAATTGTTCTATCGCCTAATAAAGCCTTAAATCATCCTCGTAAATTCTAACAAGCATGCTGGGTGTGTTCAATCCTGAACACATCCGCGTTAACCTGACCTAGCAGCTTTGGTTCGCTGGCTCATTTGGTGTAACGTACGAGGCGTCCTTCATTTATTTCTTCTTATATTATATTATCAAACGTCAAATATTCCATCATTATACACACACATACACACATTATAACAATGATAATGTTTCAATTATACAACAGCCAATAATATAAGACATGTATTGTGTTTGAAGAAAAAAAAGAGAAGAAAAGTGAATTTTGTATTAAAATACATTGTACTAAATTCACTTGACTTACGAAGTTTAAAGAGTAAAATATCAGAAATAAAATTGGTATCTTTCCTTCGATTACTTTACTTTTATTCTTTAGACAAACATGTACTAGTAACTAGCCATTATATTTTACCATATGGCAGACGTTTTACGTAATGTGGCTAATATCTACATCATTGCAGAGAACGCTATAAATCCTTAGAATTTTAGAAGAGTTAACTTGGTCTTGGAAGTTGTTGTTTGTTTATAAACATTGGTGGAGAGTTAGTGGTGTATTCATCTGTTTTGAATCAGTTATGAATTTTGTTTATTCCATAGGTTTTGAAAGAGAATATCTTACCCGTGATTACTTTATTGAGCACTTAGCTGGACTTTATGGTAAACACTATTGTACATATTTATATATAATATTTGTTGTAAATGTAAATACAAATATGTATACATGTGTTTATAATTATTTAATTTTCGACTTGCAAATCGATTCTGGGCATTTACATTGGAATGTCATGTGTTTAGGTTAGCATACATTAATCCAAAGTGTTAGCCAAAAAAATCAAACTTGAACACAAACCTATATAATAATCGACACTTACTTTGCGTGGCAATCACTTCACCGAGATGGAGATCAAGCTCCCATTGGTATGTAACCACTTCATACTGTCATGTGACCTTCCACAATTATTTTACAACAACCAGGGAATGTCACTGACAAAGACCAATGCATTTGGTCGAAATATACTTGCCCGTTACAAATGTTTTGCTTTAGTCTGTGAGCTACGAAGCAATTGTTGCTTTATAATTATAGTGTAATAATGAAATACTGTTTCTTGCTATATCATATTTTGATTTTGACATTGTCATAATTATTTGTTGATTTGTACAATCTTTATTAGCTATCCGAATGAAAATGTTCAGTCCTGAATACATAAAGCATTGTGCTGTTGTTTTAAAGCTTTAAGAACGACTTAAATGATACAAATAACACAAAGTATCACATCCACTCCTGTAAGCACCTCGAAATTAATACTGGTAGTTTATAGTTCTCAGCATGAGTTTACACCCCTGTTGAGGCCAAGTATGACCAACCATTTCTATATATATGTAGACAGTATGACCAACTATTCCTATATATATGTCGACAGTATGACCAACTATTCCTATATATATGTAGACAGTATGACCAACCATTTCTATATGTATGTAGACAGTATGACCAATTACCATTTCTATATATATGTAGACAGTATGACCAACCATTTCTATATATATGTAGACAGTATGACCAACTATTTCTTTATCAATGTAGACAGTATGACCATCCATTTATATATATATGTAGACAGTATGACCATCCATTTCTATATATATATGTAGACAGTGTGACCATCCATTTCTATATATATGCAGACAGCATGTCCATCCATTTCTATATATATGTAGACAGTAAGACCAACCATTTCCATATGTATGTAGACAGTATGACAAACCATTTCTATATGTATGTAGACAGTATGACCAATTACCATTTCTATATGTATGTAGACAGTATGACCAATTACCATTTCTATATATATGTAGACAGTATGACCAACTATTCCTACATATATGTAGACAGTATGACCAACCATTTCTATATATATGTAGACAGTGTGACCAATTACCATTTCTATATATATGTAGACAGTATGACCAATTACCATTTCTATATATATGTAGACAGTATGACCAATTAACATTTCTATATATATGTAGACAGTATGACCAATTTCCATTTCTATATATGTAGACAGTATGACCAATTACCATTTCTATATATATGTAGACAGTATGACCAATAACCATTTCTATATATATGTAGACAGTATGACCAACCATTTCTTTATATATGTAGACAGCATGACCATACATTTCTTTATATATGTAGACAGTAAGACCAACCATTTCCATATATATGTAGACAGTATGACCAATTACCATTTCTATATGTATGTAGACAGTATGACCAATTATCATTTCTATATATATGTAGACAGTATGACCAACCATTTCTTTGGATGTACAAAATATGACATACTTGATATATGTAGACAGTATGACAGGCAGTTTTAGTTTGCAAACGACTGTTGCTATTTTGTGTGTTTTACTATTCACATGTACAACATTGAATATACAGAGAATTTAATGACAGGACCTTATAAACACATACCTCTATCACAAAACATATGTTCAGTGGGTGATAAACAACCACGTTATTCCTTCATATTTAGAATACCATTAAAATTCATCAAAATTAAAGCAAATCATTTTGTCAATGAAGAGTACATCTTTCAGTATGTAACTTGTTATTTTTTTATTTTTTGGGGGATTATACAACCAATACAAAAATAAAAAGGTAAGGTAAAAGGTAAACTAGGAAATGAATTCCTTATAAAGATTTGAGATAAAAATAACCCAGGAAATGTAGTATATCAGAGGCTAGTCATATAACAACCTTCAATGTTGAATGTTCAATTCTTCACAATAAAGTTTTGGTATTCCGAAAAAAACACAACGTAAAGTATCATTAAACTTGCAGTTACCTAATGAGACCAAAGAAATTCAGAGTCAATAGGAAGCTACTCATTAGACCAGACTACCTCCTACTATTAGACAGGAAACAAAAAATCTTTTCCCTCCGTGATTCAATAAAGTGGCACGTTAAACAGGATTACCTCCAATGAATCTTCCAGTGAATCCATAGAAAAATATTTATTCCCTTACTGAGTTAAATAAAACTTATTCATTCCCTAAGCAAGTCAACAGAAAGTTACTCAGCTTATATGAATTAATGTTAAAGTGGAAATGCTTATGTGATGAACTGTTCTCATTGTGACTGTTTAAACTGACCCAGAGCAGCATTTTTCACATTGGGAATGGTTTTGAAATATATATATTATATATCTATATATCTTTATTCTATATAATATAATAAAAGATTTGGGGGATAATTTATGGGTCAGTTGACTCAAAGGGGAAAATGTGAGCATTTACAGCAAACCAGATTACCTCCCATAGACAAGAGGCCCATGGGCCTTAACGGTCACCTGATATATTTATACAGAGAGGTGATTTCGTTTTTAACACGAACAGAAATATTATTCAGTGACAAAAAAATATAAAACCACCTTATTCAATATCTAGCATACAGATTTAAGACTAAAAAGTATTTGAAACTAGCACCTCTGATTCTAAACAAGGAAAATGAAGAAATTTTAGCACACTGACTCCTTTGGGCCCCACCCTACAGCCCTTGGGGGTAGGGCTGGCTTAAAATGTTCAAAGTATCAAACTGTCAACTCAGGGTTATAATTCCAATCAAGTTATTAACATGTAATATTCAAAGTATCATTTGCCATTATAAACCATAATAAATTTTGCCCCCCCCCCCTCCTTCCCCAGGGGGTAAACGTGAGACCCTAGGGTCATAAACCTTAAGACCCTTCCATCTATGAAGAGTGTTTGATTCTACCATATCTGGGTCTTTGAGAAGATTTTTTTTTTAAATTTCAGTCAATTCAACCCTTTTTGGCCCCACCCATCAGCCCCGGGAGGTCAGTCAGGGGCTGATGTGTGCATACCATCAAACTGCTATCCAATACTGATAATGCTAACCCAAACTGAATTACTTCCAATGAAAATTAAACAAATGTTGGTCCAAAATGTGATTTCCCTATATCAACTATAGTAAAGTTTACCCCCTCCCCAGGGGTACACGTGAGACCCCAGGGTCATAAAATTCACAATTTTGGTAGAAGACCTTAAGACCCTTCCATCTATGAAGAGTATTTGATTCTACCATATCTGGGTCTTGAGAAGAAGATTTTTTAAATTACAGTCAATTTGACCCTTTTTGGCCCCTCCCATCAGCCCCTGGGGGTCAGTCAGGGCTCATATGTGCATACCATCAAACTGCTACCCAATACTGATAATGTTAATATAAATTTAATTACTTCCAATTGAAATTAAACAAATGTTGGTCCAAAATGTGATTTCCATATATAAACTATAGTAAAGTTTACCCCCTCCCCAGGGGAAAACGTGAGACCCCAGGGTCAAGAAATTCACAATTTTGGTAAAGCACTTAAGCTTAAGACCCTTCCATCTATGAAGAGTATTTGATTCTACCATATCTGGGTCTTAAGAAGAAGATTTCTTAAATTCCAGTCAATTTGACCCTTTTTGGCCCCTCCCATCAGCCCCTGGGGGTCAGTCAGGGCTTATATGTGCATACCATCAAACTGCTACCCAATACTGATAATGTTAATGTAAATTTAATTACTTCCAATTGAGACTTTGTCTCAGGTGACCTAAAAACTAACATTAACATACACATGAAGGTACTCATTCTCAGTTACTCATTATAAAGTTACTCATTCTCAGTTACTCATTATAAAGTTACTCATTCCCACAGTGACTCATTATAGAGTTACTCATTTCCAAAGTGAGTCTATATTATTGGTTATAACTTGATGATCTCATTCATCAAATCAAAAATATATCACTACACATAATAATAAATCTATAATGACAATAAATTTTATGAACTGGATGAATATATATTGCATTTGTTTATGACAGAACCAAATATCTGGTGCTATATACAGAAACGGGTTGTAATTCACAGTCTAGATATTTCAAGGTGTTTTAACACTCAAACTGTGCAATTTCAATCCATGTTCATCATTAATATATTATTAGAGTTTTCTAAAAAAAGTCATGAAATAGAATCATTCAAAGATCATAAGACATATTTGCACATCAAAGGTAACATATATATATATTAACTAATAAACTAGTTCTAATCAATTTTTATATTCAAATTAATTCATATTTAATATGATCTGTTTCAAAAAATAAATGATGTCAACTTGTATTTACTGAAATCCTTTTTTCCCCAAGAATATTTGAACCAGCATTGCATTTGTAGTTTGGCACCACCTTGTTTGGTTCCCTATAACTATATTTGTCTAGCTGCCACAACAAGACCAGCTTGTGCCGACCGTCCGTGTGTTTAGATTCACCCTGCCCAAGTCGTCATTACCGTCAAATCCTTGATCTCCACCATATCTTTTCTTTAATTCCTAAAATTTAAAATGCAACTCTTATATGTGATAATATAAGTGTATATAATGTAACAATAAATAGAAAATCTGTATAATGTATTCAGATTTATACATTATTTAAAAGATTTTGGGTTTAGACAAAAGATATTATGATTACAATTTTACACATGCATGTCTTGAATGCATGATATATATATAAATATGGTGCCTATTATCACACATGTACAATTCAAAGTACATGATGGTTTGGTTTGGTTTAGTATTATTTAACATCCTATCAACAGCTATGATCATTTAAGGACGGTCTCCCCTGTGTGCAAGATGCATGCGTGTAGTGTATGCATGAGTGTTTTGGGAGGCTGCGATATGTTCGTGTTTGTCTCCTTGTGATAGCGCGGAACTGATGCCGACTTGATAGTGCTACCTCACTGAAACATACTGCTGAAGACACACAGGAGGACACCCCACCTGGTCACATTATACTGACAACAGGCGAATCAGTCGTCACACTCCTAAATTGCTGAGCGTTAAGCAGGAGTAGAAACTACCATTTTTACAGACTCTGCTATGTCTCGGCCAGGGGACAGAACCCAAAGCCTTCTTTACAGGGGCGAAAACTCAATTAAAGGCCAAAAATGAGGCATTGTCAAGGGAGAAATTAGGGAGAAGAAAGTTGTTTAGAAAGAAGAGAAAAGTTAAGATCAAAATTTTATTCTTACGATCATGCAATGGGGGCAGCAGGTATTTTATTATGCCCTACCTGCAGGGACACATGTACATGATACTTAATATAGCAACATTTGATACATATATGTTCATAAACCAGTCAATATTATATATATATATAGGGAATTAACATTTAGAAAATGAAATATCACAGTTGACACAAAAGTTATACTATTGATAAATTAAATTTGTTTATCACACCAATGTAAAAGTTTTACATGGCAGTTATCTTCGACTATTCTCATAGCCAAGCCATCACCCCTAACCCTTGGTTTAAAAAAAATATGGCTTCAGTTTATTTTTTTATATTATGTTAATAATATAAGGCCAAACAAAACTTTTTATCTTTTATTTTAAGGTTTAAGGTTTAGAAAATGCCATATTGGCTTAACAATGCTTCCTTGAAAATTGCCCCAAAAAATGTTCAGGATAAGCACAAAATATGAAGGTAGATGTAGGAAACTACACGTGTGTATAGGATAACTAGAAACAAACACATTTTTTTACTTGGCCTATGCAATGGCCTATGCAATGCATCCCCTGTGAGAGAAAAAAAACATTGTCTGAGCAAGTTTGTTTAAAAAACTTAGTTCGCTTGTTTCCTGGAAACAAATCCATTTATAAATCTTACTTAACAAGAGGCCCAATGGGCCTGCATCGCTCACCTGGTATAAATTTCACACTTGAATATGGGTGAAGGTCATTCATTTTAACAAACTTTGTAGTCCTTCATCCCAGTTTGCTTCTGGCCAAATATCTACACCATAGGCCTTTGGGTTATTAGGAAGAAGTTGTTTAAGTAAAATATTAACGCCGGACGATGGACAGATGAAGGACGCCGCGGCATAAGCTCACTTGGCACTTCGTGCCAGGTGAGCTAAAAATCAGTGTTTAATGATAATATATTTTCAATAGTGAATACCTTTGCCATCCTCATGAATACTTCTTCAACGTTTGTATTTTCTTTGGCACTTGTCTCTATAGCATCTATCATGCCATGGTGATCTGCATAGGCCCTTGATTCTGCAGCCTTGACCTCTCTAAGATGTTCAAGGTCACTTTTGGTCCCTACAATAAAAAATTATCGTAATGTTTCGTAACTTAATTCCATTGCTTACTTGGATCTGAAATATTTATTTAATGGAAAGTGAGCACATGTCCAGGTATAACCAATAATTGTGGTGTTTCATTTTTACAATATGAACATCTCGTTCAATTTTAATTTATTAAATTAAAATTAAACCTTAATTGACTTATAACTGTCACTACATGTATACATGTGGGTTGATACTGGTGCCTGATATGTAATACTATCAAAAAGAGACAATAAGTGACTTATTATTACTTATTCACCTGCCTCTTTTATGAACGGGATCAATGTCATTTGTTTTGATAAACAAATTACCCTTTGAGTAAGCTACAGGACAAGTTATATCAACTCCAGCCTTCAGACTTAGCTCACTTAGTAAACTTCAGGACAAATTGTATCAGACTCAGCCGCTATAGACTTGGTTCACCCGAGTAAGCTGAAGGGCAAATCATATCAGACTCAGCCCATATAGACTTGGTTCACAGACTCCAGACCTGAGCTTATGGTTCTGAATATATAAGTCACCTGCACTTTTCAACATATATCCCATCTTATGACCTTAAAAGAAAGTAGGTCACTTCTTGGATCAAATTGAGAATAAAGTATGAAATTGCTAGAAGATTACATAGAAAATGCAGGATGAAATAATAAACATATGAAAAATCCCAGTCAAAACACATCCAGACCTGTTAAGAACCCAACAGATAAAAGCTAGCGTGCACAACGCCATCAGCTTTGGCTATGAAACAATAATTGATAGTCACCACCAAAAATTGTGAAAACTAACTCTCTGTAAACATTTCAGTGGTTTCTTAATACAGTATGAATAACATTTCTATTTTTTTTTATTTTTTTTTATTAAACAGTCACATTGGAAATTCTTTTTTTTTGCCAAATGCATTGCGAATGAGATGGCTAAAATGGGGAATACTAAGAGGTACACAGTATGTGTAGTAGGATGAGGAATAGTGATAGAGAACCCGCAACCCTTGGCACTCCAGTCCGATGCTCTACCGCTGAGCTAAAGGGAAATTCCTTACAGCTGAAGCTTGTAAGGTAACCTAATCAATGCACATCTTTTACACTATTTCCCCCTTTTCTTTTTTCTAACACCAACCCAGGTTATTTGACTCCCAACTAAGGATTCTTCTTTGTTGAATAGGGAGGGTCAACGGCACCAGTTTGTAGTAGGACGAGGAATAGTGATGAAATATAGTGCCATCGCTGGGGCTCTAACCCGCGACCCTTGGCTCTCCAGCCCAATGTTCTACTGCTGAGCTAAAGGGAAATTCCCTACAGCTGACGCTTGTATGGCAACCTAATCAATCGCATTTTTTACATGTGTTTTTTCTTTTGTGTAAGAAATTCAGCCTTGAACCTTATATTTGTAATAGAGTAACATCAAAAAGGGTACACGCCAGGAGAAAAGTGGAAAAGTTGTTGAGTTTGCAACTGTCTTAGTGTTTTGAGTCAACAGACTACAAATTGCCAAAGCAAGCTTCAGTTGAATTGCAATGCATTGTAATCGATTCAGTTTCCATGCAAAATTGAAAATGGACATTACACGTTCACAAACTCTTTCCTGCCTATTTCAAATAAATATCATTTTTTTACTCTGATCTAGTTGTCAAAGTTTAGTTCAAAACAAATACAATAGAATCTCTAGATCTGCAAGCGTTTGCCTCTAGGGAAGTAGCTCCAATATCATAATGTGCAGTATCAAGTTTGTAGCATAGATGTAATGTTCCTATATATATCCTACCTATTAGACATTGCACTGTATTTGTTCCAGCATATCTTTTAACGTCTTCTATCCAGCGAGACACATTTTCAAATGATGCCTTCTTAGTAATGTCATATGATAAAATTACACCATTAGCACTCCTGTAATAGCTCTGTGTTATAGTACGAAATCTTTCCTGGCCAGCAGTATCCCAGATTTGTAACTGAAAAAGAAAAGAAAAGTAATTATAATATAGCTACACAACCGACATTTAGGCACAAGCACCAACATCCTGTGGATACAGTGACAAAGATTTCAAAAAATCGTAATTCATTTTGATTTATTAATTTACAGAAAATTTATATTTGGTCTTTCAAGATTACCTAGTACTGGCTGCAAATGATTAAATTAGTTTTTGAATTCTTTGACCTGATGATGTATTCAAACCGATATTATAATAAATGTACATGTGTTACATGTAAAAGCACCAATAATAAAATAATAAATTCTATTTTTTTTTCAATATATATCTCTTATCCAATCTTCCAATATGTAATAGGAAAACTGGTTACCACTACTAAGAAAATATTGATGTATATTTTAAAAGCTGAACTGTTGGAGGAAATATGGTTATATTGATATCACAGATCTATGTTCATCTTACACACTCGGGTATCACAGGAGACACGTTGTCAAAATTAAGTTTTCGATCCACGAGATTTTCCGTTTTATTCTAACTATTTCGATTTCGTTTCGGGACTATAATCATTCCAAATGTATTTGAATAGCACCATTATCTGTGACATATCACGTTATAGATAACAGTACATGGACAGCATGATTACCTTTATTAGTTTCCCATCTATCTGCATTGTTTTCATTGTGAAATCAACACCAATCGTGCTTCCATGTTTCTCGACATACGTGCCCGATTTAAATCTCTGTACGACACAAGTTTTACCCACACCAGCATCTCCTATCAACACAATCTTAAAAAGATAGTCGAATGCGTCGTCTGTATCTGTTGTATTGAAGGAAGCCATTGAAAAAAGCGTTTCCTTTGAATTGTTTTGTCACATATTACAACATCCTGATGATGCGTCATTCAAAATACAGATTTCAATTGTACCGGAAGTTTAAACCATGTACTCGCCACTAGTACTACTATAAGGGCGCGTTCGATCACGAAAAAAGGAAGGTGCGTTTCAAATACGAATAAATTCAACGTAATTGCCTCAATAGAAAGAAATTGTATAACACGATCCAACAATACGCTGACACCACAGGCGTTCTTTTTAAAACTTAATGAATCTGATGTGAAGCACAAACCGCTACTTATCACCAACACAATGACATGGAGAATATTTTGACTCATTACAACATCAATTATGTATTATTCTATATCCGATAAAGTCGAATACGGGTTAATGAATAATTGATGGCATGTTCTTCAAGAATAATGTCTTATCTAACGATCTGTACTGCTACCGAACGATGATTCACACATGTTTTGCTTAATTTAATATCTCAATCCATAGGGGGTTCGGATGTAAACGAACAACAGCTGATCGTACGACACGCACTCGCGATCGGTACAAGCACACTCAACGTTACACATTCATAACATTACCCCGACTTTCAAAACATTGACGCCCGCGTCAACTGAGTTATAATACACATCAATTAAATACTTGTAGCAATTGACAATGATATGATAAATTAAACGTCCAATATTTTGAATAATCGTAGGATGGACAATATCATGCATATATTGTGCTTATTATTCACACTCAGTTAATGGTGTGTTTTTTTTCAAAAATAGAATAAACAATTCAAATAATTTAAGGTCAAACCTTCCCAATAAAAGTACAGTTACTTTTAAATGATTCTCTTAATCAGGTATAATCATCTATTTGCACAATAAATACCTCCCACACCAATACATGCAGCGTCACAATAAAAAAAAATCTTTTTTTTTTGATAACATCTTTATTTGGGTTTTTTCACGTGTCATTTTACAAAAGACAATACAAAACACAACTTGCATACACTCTTACTCTCGTACTATGGATATTTAAGGAGAAATTTCGAATTCCCATCCGAGATGTTTGTGACCGTAACGGTCTGGAGTTGGAATGAATTATTCGAAATTGGTTAATACACATCTCGGGCGGCGATCGAATTTGGTACAGGTTATAGGTGCATATGTGGATAAATATACAATACTTGGTAGATAAGCTATGGTATCATTAAGTTAGAAAATAGTCTCCATTTTTGGAGAAAGGTATTTTGTTTCCCTTTACATGTTGCAATATATTTGTCCACTTTACACTACATGTATATCTCTCTTTACACTTTCTATAAAAAGTGTATCACCCTTCATACGTTGTTTGTAAATGTACTATTTAACAATTAGCATAATAAGGTTCTGCAAATAATATGTTTTACCTATTTTCCCAAATAGAATATCTTGTTTTGCAAAGTTAATGTAATGAGAGGTTTTTGAGAATATCCAGTTTTCAAGAAGTAGCCAAAGACTCTCGACATGTTCACATTAAAAAACTATGTGTAGTAAAGTCTCTACGGATTGTTTGCAGAATGTACAAAGTGGGTTATTTTTTATTTTAATTTTTGTAAGAAAACTGTTAGTTGCAAGTATCCTATGTATAATTCTATATTGAAACCACTGCAGAGTCACATCTGTACTGCAGCGTCACAATATTGCTGTATTTACTATAATCATGAATTTTGACACATTTATTGTTATATATCATAAATATCCCGAGTAAGTTCTGATATTCCTGAGTTGGACACATTACAAATTGTGTTATTGATACACATATTCCATAAAGTGTGGTTTCTATCAAAGTTTCTTTAATTTCTGATGTCCACATACCAGAACACTACTACAACAATACACTCACATTAGTATATAAGATACTACTTATGGTCTGATTCCAACATATCAGGACCATGTGATGCCACATACTTGCAATAGTACATATTTAATGTACAAACCCTAACGTCTACTTACACAAAAATATAAAATATGATAACTGTATATCTGCCATCTGGAGGTCAAGAACATCAACATTACCTATAAAAGTTACAATGGACGTAAGTTGTTACATTCTTGTTCTTGCCTCATATTATTTATCTTACCACGGCCTATAAATAAGAATATATTTAGGATATTGATGTTCAATTGATTAACAGTACAGAGTTAAAAACTTCAATGATCTTTATCTTTATGCCTACATATGGGATAATATTTCTATGTACATTTATCTATTAATATAATAAAAATTACTTTACCACTGCAGCTTCCCGCACAGGTGGGGAAACACACAGGGCAGGGCTGGATGGCTGGCTGGCTGTGACTGGCGGCGTCTGACTTTTCTCCCCTGCCACTGTGGTTTCCAGCACAGGTGGGGAAACACACAGGGTAGGACTGGCTGGAAGCGTCTGGCTCGTCGCCTCCGCCACTGTGGTTTCCCGCACCGTCGGGGAAACACACAAAGCAGGGCTGATAGGCGGGGTATTGGGCTTCTCCTCTGCCACTGTGATTTCCCGCACAGGTGGTGAAACTCACAGTGCAGGGTTGATGTGCGAGGTGACTCCCATTAATATGGGGAGGTCAACCAGTGGCTCCTCGAACTCCACCCTCTCAGGTGAAGTGAATAGGGTCACCATCTCCATATCATAATTTAACCCATATAACTCCTCATCCGCTTTCGGCACAACCGCCATTTCAAATCATGGTGGACTAGCTATAGGTACTGGCTTTACTACACTTCTCAACTTTCATTGTGAAGGTGTGGTAGGATGTACGGGCAGCACACACTTAACACAATTGATATGAATATCAATGTGTGCTGCCTGGCTTGCCTTATAGCTACATTTGCTATAATGACAAGTCTGTGCCACTCCATGCTTATCCCGTAGATGCTGCTTTAAACTCTTCAACCTTCCATACTGTTTTTACAGGTGGCACAGGGGTTACCCCTCCTGTAAACGTAAAAAACACAAATTTTAGTTTCTTACATTTTTTGTTTTATTTTTGTTTTTGTTTTTATATATATACAGCTAAGTACTTGTAAATCCTCTTTCTATGTTCATTTATTCAAACATTGTTAATAACTTAACATTTCTTCTTTCTGACTAGCTGCACGGTTCTTGTACATCCTCCACACATGTATGAGATCCTCTTCCGGTATATCAAGGGTGGATTGCCAAGGACTCGGGATGGTAGTCAATAGGTCATCTATCTGGCCAGGACAGAATCACCAGAACAAGAATCCAGAATGTACAGTACTGCTCAATGCATCTGCACCAGGAGTAGCAACCAGACGCTATCTCATGCATAAGGCAACGTTTCCCAGAACAGCACGAGTACTGGTATTTTACAACAAAACTCCCACCCCTTTCGTTTAAATTTTCTCAAACTAAATAAAAATGAGACCTTTAACATGACTCAAAATACAAAATCGACTAAATTTGGGATCCTATCTTTTCTCTTCTTTCTAAACCACGTGCACTTTCTTCTTCCTAATGCCTCCCTTGACAATGCATCACTTTTGGATTTTAGTTGAGCGCTTTGGGTTTTATCCCCTGGCCGAGACTTAGTAGAGTCTGTAAAAATGGTAGTTTCTACTCCTGCTTAACGCTAAGCAATTTAGGAGTGGGACGACTGGTTTGCCCGTTGTCAGTATAATGTGGCCGGGTGGGGTGTCCTGCTGGGTGTCTTCTCCGGCAGAATGTTTCAGTGAGGTAGCACCTTAAAGTCGGCATCAGTTCAGCGCTATCACTAGGAGAAAAACACGAACATATCGCAGCCTCCCACAACACACACGCATACACTACACGCATTCATATTGCACGCATGGGAGGCCGTCCTTAAATGACCCTAGCTGTTGATAGGACGTTAATCAATACCAAACCAAACCAAACCAATCTCCCATCTACCTGGGTTCCTACTGGTCCCTCTTTGGCCTGTGTCCCGGNCCCCCCATAGATTGTATGACTATTTGGTTTTCCTCAGTTGATTTGTTTATCTTGGTACTAACTCCCAAGTTTCCTTTGATCTGTAACAAGAGTACCGCGTGCCGGAACAAAATACGCCCGTCGAATGCCATATAGTGTTATATACTTTCTTACATTAAAATAAGATATGCATCATTCTAAGAATGGTTAGCTGATATACTAAAAAAAATGTAGGAGAAAATCTTCGGACAAAAAATCAAATACTGAAATAAACAAAAGGCAATAAATTTTGCATAAATCGTCGAATCAAAATTCTTTTAAGGGAGACACAACTTCATATCATGATTATAAAGTATACCAAGTTTCAAAGAGATCTGTTGAAAAATGTAGGAGGAGATCTCCGGACAAAAATCAAATGCTGAAATGAACAAAGGGCAATTACTTTTGCAAAAATCGTCGAATCAAGATTCTTTTAAGGAAGACACAACTTCATATCATGATTATAATGTATACCAAGTTTCAAAGAGATCGGTCGAACAAAGTAGGAGGATATCTCGGGACAAAATTCAAATACTGAAATGAACAAAGGGCAATAACTTTTGGAAAAATTGTCGAATTAAAATTCTGTTAAGGACTTTCCACCCTTCGTAATACACATGTTTTTCTTGTCGTATTTTCGTGTCGTCATATCCGTATTGCGTATCGGGCATTACATTACCGTAGTGTAAATTATAGTAACACCGGGTAAACAAAGGTACACGTGCGTGACGATCTTACTAATAACTGGGTAACCATGTGCAATTACACGTACTTCAGAAATAAAGCTTATGATACAAAGATATTAATTAACTCACAGGAAAACACTGACATACGATCAGAAGGTCGTATATATATGAGGCGCATGGAATGCCGACTGATGTGTTTTGTTTACGACCTCACATGTACGTATCACGTGCTAACAGTAGTTCACAAGCTCTTGTAATTGGTCGCTACCACTTTTGTTGTCGAGCAGCGAGTTACGCTCTGTCAGATAAATCGGTTCACAAATGCAATTACAATACTCTATGAAAATAGTGGTTTGTAAAATATCAGAATCCCTATAAAACGCAAGAGCATGTGTGTGCAGGTAATAACGGCATACCATGCGAAAGCC